TGATCACTGAATGCCGCCATTCATTGTTAATCGTATTTATACGCCTTGCGATTTTACCAATTTAAGCAATTGCAAATTGACTTCCGTTCTTTGTATGCCGTCCTTCATTGGTTATCTTGTTTTTCATATTGTACGGTGTGCGATTTTACCGTTTAAAGAAATTGCAGAGTGAATTCCGTTCAATGAATGTCCCCTTTCCTGTTGATCTTGTTATTCATATTGTGCGCTGTGCGATTTTACCATTTAAAAGAATTGCAAAATGACTTCCGTTCATTGAATGCCGTCCTTTACTGTAGATCTTGTTTTCATTTTCTGCGCTATGCGATTTTACCATTTAAATTAATTGAATATAATATATACCTTTTTATTTTAAATTATTGAGCAAAAAGGTCTTTACAATTTCGTTTCTCTTTATTTTACTAATACTTTCGAAAAATACCAAATACGACATTTGTTTTGCTTTACGGCGCACCAACACAGTTTAGGTGATATGGCGCCGAATCACGAAATATGATTTTTGCTAACCTCGGATGTTACAAACTATATTTTGTATGTTTGATTTGATTTAACGGCACATTGATACATGACCGAACAAAACATCTTTACAGTTAACTCTTATACAGGATTTCATGAACAGGATTTCTTTTATCTTTGACCGAATAAACGTGTTACACTGATATTTTTGAACAATCTTTTTCTGAAGTTTGTTTTGTTCGGTTAACCAAAAAAATGTCAGTTTTATATAATGTCTCATTCCTAACTCTATTCCAAAAACCAGTACAATGTATTTTTTATTTTTAGTAATTGTGACCCTAGAGGTTCCGAATGCAATCGAAACCGGGTTCCCACATAAGGTTGCTACATAACAAATTTTATTCCAATATTTCATTCTTAACTCTAGTTATTGTACTGAAACCATTTTCCTATTTTAAGTAATTGTGACATTGACTTTGACCACAGGGGGTCCAAATGCTCTTTATACAAGCTTGTTGTACACAAAGTTTGATTAAAATATCTCATTCAGCTATCTGTAAGCAATATACATATATTTTTCTGTCATACAGGCATTCTTCAAAATAAAATAGTAATAATAATTATATATTTATTACCCAGAAAGTATTGAAATCATTAACATGATTCTAATGAAATATGGACAGATGGCACTACATAGACAATGCATTTCATTTTAAGCTTGACTATACTGAGAGATGTTCTACCTTGACCGTGACCGGATTTCTGACTAAAGTTTTAAAGAAGAAAAATCTGTTTCTGAAACTTTTTTTATTCCATAGTTTTCATTTACTATGATGGTTCAAGTTTTTAGCCCCAAAATAAAGGAAAGTATCATATTAAAATTTCTTAAAAATATGTGGTTTATTTTAAATTACTTCTTTATTTTTAAAGGGGTATCTACTCAATGTAAATTCATGTTTTTGTTTCATGTTATCTGAATTAAAGACCTTGGAAATATTTTAATTAATTTTACTTACAATAGCGAAAGTTAAAACAAACAGTATGCCTTTTCATTCTTTCTTAAAGAAAAGTGGACTTTTGTTTAACAGAATAAATATGTTACAGATAAACTAAAAAAATGCCTTGCACAAAAGTCATGGCCTTTCAAGGCCTGGCTAACCTACTTCTTGTGGGTTTCTAACCAGGTTGAAAGCATTGCATTTTTGCTTGCAATACTATGTGAATTGCTTGTTGAAATGAGTATATGTTTTATGAGGGTATGCCGTTTTGAATCATGCCATTTTGAATCAGGGATAAATTATGACGTCATTTAATCCTAATCCTAGATAATTCTAATCCCCGAAACAATGGTTGTATTGAAAAACTAAACAGGATTTACCTCTATTTATGATAATTCAATCATCTTAAACAATGGGCATTAAAATCTTAAACAATGGGCATTGAAATGTAATTATTTCTTAAAGAATGGAGAATTGAAATGTAATTATAAGAAATGATTATTTTTCAATGCACATTGTTTAAGGTATAATTTAGGTAAACCATACTTTCAAGTGTATTGTTAAGATAAAGTGGCCGGATTAGACAGTGCAGACTGGTGTATTGAAATGATTGAAGAGCTGCTCCTTTTTCGCACTTAGAACAGAAAAGAAATTGACATACATAGGCGTTATTAATAAATACCTGATCAATTAATTTATTCATCAACATATTAAAGTTCAGCCTTAAACAAGCTGGAAAAGGTTGCGCGATTGCTTTGTAGAAGCTGCAGATACGGTTGCCTTTCACAGCGTGACCACCTCTGTATCATGTATGACCGCAGCCAAAAACTCGAGCACCACTTCCGGGACATTATGGGAATTCTAGACGACGGGCAGATAATCGAAAAATGGTATAATTCATAGACATACACTGGGTTCGAACGTGGAGTTTTAGATTTGTTTGTTCTTAAATTCAAATGTAAAGATTAAAGAGAAATCATGATGAAAACCGAACGCTGGCGAAAGAGCGTCACAAGGATTGCGCAAACGATACTCAAGTAAGAAGAAATTTAAGAAAGTTTGTGACCGCGCATGCGCAATTATCACACTATCAAACGTAGCTCAGTGTTATGATGGACGCCGTGGACATAAGCCAGTTTAAAAGTCGCGATTGGGAGCATCTTAATGACGAAAATGATTCGTTGGTGAAGTTCATTGCTCCAGCCACACTGTTACTGGTCAGTATTAAATCACCATGAATGACAACTTGATAAACTAAAAAAGACATGCACTTGTGAATCGGGTTTTAGTGTACTGTGAGATAACGCTGTTACTTTTCACCTTTTTTCAGGTCGGACAAAGCAACTCTGGTAAAACATCTTACATGAGGAAGCTGGTCGAAAATGGCGACAGGATGTTCAAAATTCCTCCATCTAAGTACATTTGGTTGTACAACATATATCAAGACATTTACGACCAGATTTCAGTTCGAGCAAGGGGTCCCGACACGAGCAGACATTAGGCCGAGAACGAAAAGAATTCAAAGTACGCGAAAACTATGACCTCACACTTGCATAATATATATTACTGTTCAGATTGCAAAATCGTCTGCAGCTGTCCACACTCGGTACACAGCTTTTTATTTATAGTATGAAGTCAAAACACTTCCTGCGCGCTTATGACGAAGTTATGACAGCAAATCAATTTAGCCAGTTAATTATTGATCTCAGTCCAATGAGCACACATTCTGACTATAAGTTAAGAGCAAACGTTCTACCAGGAGAGTTGCCCGTTATATACGAACTGGAATAGTAGTTAGTGTGTGTGTGTGTGCCTGAACATTAGAATATTAATTGTTACTGAACGAGAAAAAAAAACAATAATAATAATAATAATAATAATAATAAACATTCACGTTTGCTGCTGCTGGTGTGATGGACAAAATAGTTCGCCAAATTGATTTTCTACGTTACTTGGTCGTTGCAGTGCAAACCCAGAGGAAACAGCTTCTACGTAATCTAGCTAGAGAACAGATTCAAGTTCTATCAGAGATCTGTCGGAAACATTTAGATATCGGACCAAGACTATTTGACTCTTAGCAAGCACAAAAACACCCTGAGGAAAGTGGTACTGAAATCAGTAGATAACAATACTAAGAGAGAGTTAATGTATAAAGACGCTACAGTAAATAAAACGTTAGAAACGGTATTTCTTAAGGATTTCGAGAAGGAATCTGAGGACAGTGATTCGTCATTAAGTGACTACGGAAGCTCAACTTCTCCGGTACAGACAACAAAAAATAACAAGAATAAAGATCAACAAGGCAAAGGCAACGTTCACAGGACGCCGCCCCCGGACACACCCAAGCAGGACACCCAGAGGGCACCAAACAAGTACCTTGAGTGGACACAGTCGTATCTTGCATAATGCAAGCGGGATCGGAGAAGGGTTTTTGCAAACTGATTCTGATTCCGGCAAGCCGGTACCAGCAACTGATTCAAAGTCAAGCACAGCCTACACAGCAGCAGCAGAAACGCCAAACAGCAGAAGTGTTTCCTAATACGTCACCGACCGCATCGCCAGTGAAACAGCTGCACCAGGCCACGCAAGCGACTAACATATTTGAAGCTAGATCCATCCAAAATGGCGGCAGTAACTCTGTATCATTGACAAATCATCAATCGATCAGTGAACGCTTAACTGGAATTATAAAGAACATTTTTCCCAAACATGCTAGGAGAAGGGCGGTGTCTCTGCTACGGTATCATTAAGTTTGGTAAGGGCGTTTTTGAAGTCGATGGATCGGGAACTTTGATTTTACATGGAAGAAAAATGGACTCTAGTATCACGGACTATATATACTGTGCTCTACTGAATGATCGGTTTCAGCACCACGGACCGGAGGACTTAAATCTTTTCATTGTCGCACTGAACCAGATAAATGTACCCGCGCACTTGTTACAGAAAAGTGATGATAAAAAATTTGTTTCAGAAAAACAAGTGCTAAAAAATCCAAATGGCTTCCTTTTTGACTTATAGAGTACAATCTCTGTACAGCGACACCATTTGGGAGTCAATGATGTTGGTTGTTACAGAGAGGTGTCGCTTATGTTTTTGTAAAGTCTTTATTTTGGGAACTATTAACACTGTTGTTGTAAAGTATATATATATATATATATATATATATATATATAATTGAAAGATGGGTAGTAATCTGTAGTTTCTTCTGACTGTTATCAGCTATAGTTTTATTTTTATTTGTTACATTTTGTATAATTTCATACATGAATATCTGTTATAAATAAGCATATTTTAGTTGAAAAAAAAAAATTATCATAACTAATTGCTCTTATTTTGTATTATATTGACATTATAATATCATTTTTGACACGGCGTCTGCATTTTTCCTTAGATATGTAAAACATGATTTCGTATATTGTTTGTGATTTCAATGGAATATGTTCTATTTTTTTACCAAACCCTGCATGTAAAACAGCATAGATAAGTCATCATGATACAAATCTTTTATTATTCTTGGTATGCATTATAATAATAATAACAGCAATAATAATAATGTACAATGTGCAATTTACAGACATAATATAAAATGCGATTTACATAATTATAATACTGTCATGTCCGTGACTCAGCATAGAAAAGTCATCAAGATACAAATCGTTTGTTATTCTTTGTATGCATTAAAAATAATAACAGTGGTAATAATAACAGCAATAATAATAATAATAATAATAGATAATAATATACAATTTGAAATTTACAGACATAATATAAAATGCGATTCACATAATTAAAATACTGTCATGTCCGTGACTATGTTCCCATTAAACTTATTAACTTGAATAATAGATCAATATGCGCTTTATTTACACTTTAATTTGCCACTAATTTGGCGCCATTTTAAATCCGATCGTTAAGACAATGATGTCCAAAGCTGACCGAAGTCAGATTGTCAAAATGGTATCTTTTGTAGTCCAATATGCTAAGGACCCGTTTGCTTACAGACACCTGGTACAGGTTCTGGTCGTAGTTTCTCACTTCCTTAATGTTTCGGTATGACAGGTACCACCTAAGAGGCACTGTTTGTACAAGTCATGTTTTAACTCTCTCGAGCACCCTTTATGGTTTGTCTGAACCCTTGATCAGTCTTAAAGGAATAGTATTTCGGGGACAGAGCCACTAATTCTATCCCAACCTGTCCTGGCTGTTCGAACTTAACCTTTACGGGGACCAACTTGTTTTCATCATCACCTAAAGGATGGTCATCGGGCAAGTTGGACAGGTCAAACATGTTCTTGTACTTAAGGTACCTATCTCTAAGGTCGGGGACTCCTGAAATCTTTAATACAAGACTGTCGGTGTCTCCTACCAAAAAGTGACTCTTCAATCCTTGCAAAGTTTAGGTTTTACAAAGTCATAATAGAACGAGTACACCGTCAGTTTTGATAGTTCCAGTATAGTAAATCCAATGGCGATTGGTCTATTAATCACAACCACTGGCCTATGCATTTGAACAGCAGTCAGGTTTTGAGTCAACACGCGCAGACAGTCGAAAGTTGGCTTTGATACGAGGCGCATCAGACTTTGTTCGTTGGTGCAAATACGCACGTTTTTGTAATTTCTAGGATTTTCATAGCTTTTACCTGGAAGAGTGAAAAGAGAATCGTTTATAAATCTGACATATATCATAATGCTAGTTATGTTTGTTTTATATATACATATATGTATATGAACGCAGTATTATTACAAAAAGTTATGGTTATGGGGAATTAAATGCACCATTTTTTGGAGTTAGATCGTACAGTGAATAAGCAATTCAATTTCACTTACCAGAAACTAAATTAGCAATACTCTTCCACAGGGTCTTGTAGAAAGGAGACTTTGCTGTTCTTCGCTGATCTGCACAGTGGACCATAAAAGACTTTAATAGTGGGATCTGTGTGAACGTCAGTACACGATGTATCTTGGTCACCTGCAAACCGTGTTTTGTGTAAAACTGCAGGTTTCTGTAGTGTACCGTATACTTTTTTGTCTTTGAGCGTCAAGCACAGGCGTTTATCCAGGATCATATTGTCTGTATTGACGCCACACGATTCTGCCGTTCGAACAGTGAAATCTGATAAGTCTTCTTTACCTATTGTTATTCTCTCCGGAGCTAGTGGGAAATCTGAAATGAATGAATGAATGAACTGTTAATTAATTAATTAAGTACGTAATTAAATACTTAATTATTTAATTAACGATGGAATGAAAGCAGTAGCCAGTTGTATCGACAAAAATACATTGTTTAATTTTGTTAGTTTATTTCCGTGTGTCACTATTTGAAAACGTCATATTGGCATTGTGTCAAATATGGCTGTCGCATTTTTATTATAAACATAAAAAGTATTAGGCATTTGTTCTTTGCTAATACTAAATTTACCTGAGTATTTAATTTATAAACTAAAAATTATGATTATATCCATGATTACCTCCCTTTATCTCTGCTTTTCTGACCATTCTATGATTACCCCCCTTTGTCTCTTTTGCTTATATTAAAATGAATGCTTTTCTGATCATTTAAATGTGCAATATGTATTTGAACAGATGCTTTAATCCATTAAGAGACTTACGGACCTTTAAGCTTAATTTGAATGAAAATATGAAAAAAATTGTTTATTGTCAATTTAAATGAAACTACGAAATGCATACCGTCGTGATCATCATGCAGTTCCGGTGGATAGCAAAGATCAACCTCCTGGATAAATCCATGGTCATTATCCTCAGGTTTCTGCTCAAAATCGAATCTCTCGATTGCGTACCAGGATAGAAAACAAAATCCGTACTATGGGAGTCGTGCCGAGGTCATCGTAGAGGTATACAGCCTGTTGAAATCCAAAAAGTCAATGTAACTGGTCTCCTCGTCTTCATGGAATGTACAATTTGGCATTTCGCGATTGTTTGCCTTCGCATACCTCGGATTTCCAATGACAGATATCCCACCTGCGAAAGATTGTCAATGTATTTATAAAATTAAATAATGATCTGTTCAAGCTGTATTTTGATGCATGTAAGAGGTATGTCGCATTGATAATAATTATAATAATTCTAATAGAATTTAGATATTTCTTTCATTTGACATACTATTAATTAATATCAATTAATATGCATACTTCTTTAATAAAACAAACAAATAAATAAGTAAGCAACTGCGTACCCTAATAGCATTTTCTATCATGAGATTGGCTTCCTGGGAAGTCTGAAGCTGAATCCTAGTGCCAATGAAACGTAGGACACTTTCCCACGCAAAGCTTGCCAGTGTGTAAAACATCATAGGGTCCAGTCTAACGTCTTTTATCACCGCTGTACTGAGCTTGCTGATGATGTCGGCCGTGAATAAACAGTGATCAGTGCAAGCTCCATTATTTTTATGGGCTTTTTTCATCAGCTGAGTCCCAGACTCTTTGAACAACACGGTACATGCATTCCTCTTCGGACAGTGATGACCCCTCGACACAGTCCCCAAAATTTTCAATTAGTGGCAGGTCTGACTCCGCTAGTTCCTCTGGGCCTTTAATATAATCCCTACATAAGGCTATCTTACAAAGTCTGTGTTCAGAAATTGAGTGTGGCCAATACGTATTGGCATAGACCCTCTTCCGCTTTGAGTCCGTCTACAAGTGACGTCAGTGAATCTTTAAAACAGTTTTTGAAATCTATAAAACGGCACCTGTCAATGGTCAAACCGGCGTATAAATCTATAGTTTTTGGGATGACACATTTTTTTCACTCCATAAATCTCGGCTGCACGCATTTAAATTCTGCCGTCGTTTGCGGAGAGATCGTTCAGAACGACAACAAGATGGTTAGGTACCCCCCAGCTTCAAATTACAGCCCATACAAGCCCTGCCTCGAATTTTCCCTGAAATAAAGTAATGAAATGGTAGTAAAGATGTTAGTTGTATAGTTTTTGTTAGCAATATCTAAACAAAGGTCCTGTTTTAGCATTTAGCATTTTCAGCATTAAGCAATTTTAACACTGAAGCTACTCTAGCATTTATATCAGTGCGAATATTAGTGCAATGTATTACATTTTTACTGTAAGTTGTTAGAACTGTTGAATTTTCTAGCTGTTATGTGACAGTGGTCTTATGCTATACGCTGTCCGGGAAGGAACGGGTCGTCGCAGATATGGCATTTATCGTTGGACGCCTGAGTTTTGCGAATTCCTTCATCGCAGTACTGTATTGGTTGATTTCGCCGCATGATCGCCAGTGCTTCTCTTTGTTCACGTTGCATGCATTGTAGAAACTACTTCATGACTATACATGTATCGTGGTGTGTGAAGAAAACTGGCTCTTTGGGGTAGCTATTATCAATGCTTATTCAATAATAAGCAAAAGCACAGGGATCATGAAATCTTTCTCTCACGATCGCACCCTCTGTTGGTTCATTGAGATCGAATATTGGCCGACGGAAACACTCGAATCTTGCTACAATCACGAAAGGAGCTTCTAGTTGTAGATGGTGCTTTTTAAATTAAATGTAATTATTACCAATGCTAGGCATTTTTACGTTTAACGGGTCTAATAAATTACAATGCTCTATGTGCTGCTCTAGGTCTTTGGAGGAGTATTTAGCATTTAAGCACCGCGGGCAAACGTACACTTTGTGCTTAGACGAGCGCTGATGGAAGACAAGAGTTACAAGATCTTTAATGGCGCAATAGTGAGGAAATACCTATTGGTCCTTCTTTTCGTGTTCCGTTCTTGCTCTGGACAGTATCATTATGCTTAAATAGTAAGTTCGCATGTCCTCTCATTTCCGTTAGTGGACACATACATGAAGGAATTATAACATTTATAGGTACCTCATCGTCATATTGTCTCTCGAAAACCTGTGAACTCGAAAATTTTGTTTCTTTTGGATAATTTTCTGGATAATCTTTGTGAGTGTAATCTGTATTCGTTTTCTTGTCTTTGATTTACTTCCGGAAACCTTTTGTTACTCATTTCTTTTTGTTCCTCAAATGCAGACCAGTGCATGGAACTCACTTATGTTTTTCTACTAGTTTTTTATATGTTTGTTATTGGGCTTGCAATGACTAGCGTATAAACTCAATGATTTTTTACTATTTGCTGGTTTCCTACCAGTTGTACTATTTTATCAGGGCACGTGTGCTCTCTGATTTAATTCATTATTGGTGAAGTTCTGAATGGTCGCTTGTATGTTGCTAATACTCGCAAAGGATGTTATCTAAAACATAAAAGTGTTCTTAGAGTAAGATTAGCACCTCGTTCCAGGATCCCAGCCAAACTCTTTCGGTTTACGTAAACAGTGTACGATTCATTGCTGTTACGAATTTACTTTTAAATTAAGGCCTGTATTCTCCAATCTTTGATGATGTGCATTTGTTTTCGCCTTTGATATGCAGTTATCTGCGATTCTCGCTCTGATAAACAAGGATAGTCTCTGCTGTCCCTTTGAAATAGATTGCCAATTTTATTATTTATACTTTTATTGGACTTCACTGTTTATAAAGTGATAATTCAAATTCTCAGAGTTTTCATATGACTCGTTTAATGCCAGATTTTTAAATAACTTTCTCGATTTAGTGCAATTACTTTCATGTTATTTGCAACTTACCAATACTCGTGATTTAAGAATTTTTAACTCAATGCTAAAGTACCTCAAAAACTTTTTGTATGAGAATATTCTCTCCCAAAATCTTTTTTTTTCGATAATAAAGGGAGATAATAAAAAATGTTAATAAGGTTAAAACGTCAGTTTTGCATTAAAAAAAACTCCACAACCTTTTTGTTTCATGATGTATTATATAATATGTTAAATAATGTCATTTTTAAGTATATGTTTGTTAACAAGAACTGCCTATATATATGCATATTTCTCATAAATTTTTAAAAGTTTAACCACCTCTTCGTGTATTTGTAAATAAAAAGGTCACAACTCTCAATTAAAAATAATTAATGGCAAGCTTAGATCATCTTGCATTCTGTGTTCATTATCCCAAATTTTCTTAATTATAATAGCAGTATTGATAAAAAAAGTCTCATGATATGCGTAGTATCGATATATTCACCTTATATTTCTCTCTTTCTTATTGTCGTTTCCGAATCATCTCCTGTATTGTATTCATAATCACCATAACGCACCATTGGTTCCAATCTGCTCATAAAGGGTGAAGTGAAATTATAATTTTATTACTTCTATGAACTTGTTTTTGAATGAATATTTTATTCAATGTGGTGCTCCAGAGGCTTATTATATTTCTCATTGCTTTCGTGAAAACTGATTTATTCGATATTTATAATTTTAATATATGTTGTACATTGTATATAAATTTGATTATCACTATTGTCGTGTTAAAATATTAGTTTCATTTACGCTTTTTTATACTCATCTTAATTTCACACTACACTACACATATTGATTGTATATAAATTTACTATTGATAATATTGTCTTTACCTTGTTTAATGCGTTCTCAGTGTTTCCAACTTTATTTGTTGTCGTTTTCCCGTCAAACAGACTCCGGCCAATACTAGGGAAGTATTCTCTTTGTGTCCATCTCGGATGTAACGATATTTTTTTCTTTTATAACAGCTTTTTCTCTTTCGTTTCGTTGTTATCGCGTCTTGATTGATTGCTGAGTTATTTGCTGCTCGGATCCAATGTTCGGCTGCACCGTGGTATTGGTTTCCTGGAATTAGATCACTTAGAAGCTTAGTAAACGGCGTTAGATGATATTACTAGATGGCGTTCCGATCGTTATTATGCTCTTTAGCTCACCGTATTTTTTTGCCTAGTTAAATTTCCTAAGTGCTTTTACTGAGGCATGTTGTAATGATTAGTCATCCTCCTGAAAATGTTTTCTCTGTGCGTGAGCAAATCCTTTGATTATTTCTTTCTTGCTTGTGAGCAACAAAGTCTGTTCTCTCTTTTTTTCCACAAAATTTTTTTCACCTAATTATTATTCATTGGAGTGACTCTGTTTTGCATAGAAGTTCCAGATATTTTCGTGATTTAAACTTCTTCTGGCATGAAGTACATTGCTCTGTCACAGCAGCACATTGTGGCATATGTCTCTTTAATTCACACGGTTTCCTGAACTACTATTTACAAGTTTGACAGCGTTTTTCCTTTTTTTAACACACACTGCCGATCTCTGGTGTTTTACTAAATTCGATTTATTGAAAAATTGTTTTTCACATTTTGTACACACAGAATTATCCAGTAACGTTTCATTTAGTTTTCTTAGCTGATCTCTCACTTCCGGTGAGCTTGGGTCATACGTTACGTTGTCATTATTTGGGAATAGAAGGTTTCTTATGAACTCGTTTTAGTCATTGGAATTTGCCATACCTGATGTATCAGACCTGAAATGTGACCGCTTTATATATATAAATTGTATTGTGTTGTGGTTACATGTATTGTATGTACATGATCGGGGGCTTAACTGTATCGAACATGTATAATCTAGTGACGGTAACTCATGTATGTACATGATCGGGGCTGCTAGGCTAAACTGTAGCGAACATGTATAATCTAGTGACGGTAACTCATGTATGTACATGATCGGGACTGCTAGGCTTGACTGTAGCGAACATGTATAATCTAGTGACGGTAACTCATGTATATACACGATCGGGACTGCTAGGCTTAACTGTAGCGAACATGTATAATCTAGTGACGGTAATACATGTATATACATGGTTATATCATCAGAACAGACAATATCCCGTCTATGTAGCCTGAGGGACGTTCTGCATTGTTTACATTAGCATGAGAAAATGCGTCAATAGATTGCCGCATATTTTCAAATACACATAATATAAACTGCCAAATTACTATCTTTGTTTACAATGATGTGTGTCCCTATTAATTCTTGTATCTAAAATAGCAAACAAATGAAGAGTACATGTATATCGAGCTTGTTTATATGAAAACAAGACTAAAACTATAATAATCACGA